AAAAAAAAAAAAAAAAATCCCCTTCCTCTCTTTCATTCACACAACGAAAACACTAAATGAGCGCGGTGACTGCTATTTTTATTTTTTCACTTTTCTTGATAGTATCTCCAAAAAAAACCATATATCCAAAAAATTTCAATTTAAATTATTGAAAGTAACATTAATGTTGTCACTGCTATTTTTCTTCGGCTATCGTTACCTCCTCCTTCACCAGTATCGTCATTACTGTTATTTTTTTCTCCCATCACTTTAAAAACCAATCTGTGTAAATATATGTGCAGAAGCATTAGCAGTAATGGTAACCACAGCGCTACCGGCAACAACAATAAACAAAAGTTCCAGATTAGTATTTTAACCAACTAACTTGAACAATACGTGTTGTCCATCTGGCGAAACTGCCATTATCCGATATGCACTTCGAACTCCAGTAAACGACCGAAGATCCTTCATCTCATCTGGCTCCAAATCAATGTCGCCCTCTGTATTCAGCACACAGCTCAGCAGAGTCAAGTCAACGAAACTTCGCGATGACTGACGGCTAGTTGCAATTGACATTCTGGCTGCTCAACAAAATGCCAAAAACTTTGTTGTAGGCGGTACAGATGCGTTGTTTGCCTGCACAGGAGGAAGAAGAAAGGAATTAGAGGTTTCTGCGCTGCAAATGCATCATCGTCGGTGATGATGACGACGATGACGATTTTAACGGTCTATGAAAGCGACAGCAACATCATAACTAATACCAACACCCAACATTGACACTAGCAGCAACAGCAAGCAGCCAGAAACCCTGCAGACGTACTTATCGTAGACAACGTTGTCGTTGTCTTCGTCGTCGTCTTTGTCATCGTCCTTACTATCTTTAATGGGACAAAGACAAAGTCAACGAATTTCCTTCAACTCATTATCTATGCAACACAACGGCATCGTCGTTGGCAGTTTAATACATCTGCGAATTTCTGACCTGTTGCTTTACTTCTTCACTGTTACTGCAAAAATTAACATATGACAGTTACTGCTGCTTTGGAAGTGCAGGTGGAGACAAAGATGGCAGCTGGTTTTCATACAAACGTTTTGTTTGGCTTTAACAACCATCAATAATTTTAACGATTTGTAGACGACATATAATTATAACCAAATATTTTTTTTTTTCACAGGAAGTTTTTATTTCCTTTTTAAAATACAATTAAATCGGTGAGAAAGCGAAAAAAATTAGATAATTTCATTATTCAAAAAAAAATTTTTTTTTTTATCAAAGTGTAGAGAGACGAGAGGCTGAGATTCGCGCTGAAGAGAAAATCTGAAAAATTTACTGTCCGACGTAGTGTTGTTGATTGCAATAGTAATGGGAAGTTTTTTTCAACTAAAATAAAACCCTGGATATTCTAAAAAAACTTTTCCTATTGATTGCATTAAAAATAAAGTTTTTTCTTCTATCTTTTTTTTTTTTTTTGATATCGACCACAAACATGTAGTTTGCATAACACATTCATATTTCTACTTGCCTATCTATCTATCTATTCATCTATCTATCTTTTTTTTTGTTTAATTTGTTTATAAATCATCAATGAAAATATG